TCATGCAAAAAGAAATGGGAAGAAAGTGGGGGTCACAATTCTCATATCAAACAAAATAGACTTTAAAACAAAGGCCCTAAAGATAAAGAAGGACACTATATAATGATAAAAGGTTCAACATAAGAAGAGGATTTTACACTAGTCAGCATATATGCACATAATATAGGAGCAGCCAAATACTAACAAAAATAAAGGGAGAAATTGACAGGAATACAATAATTAGATTTTAACACCCCACTCACATCAATGGACAGATCTTCTAGACAGAATGTCCTAAATGATACAATAGAACAGTTAGACTTCATTGATATTTTCAAGACTTTACATTAAAAAAAAGACAGACTACACATTCTTTTCAAGTGCACATGAAACATTCTTTAGGAATGATCACATATTGTGACACAACAGACCTCAATGAATTTAAGAGTATAGAAATTACCTCAAACATCTTTTCTGAACACAAAAGCATTCAACTAAAATCAACCACAGAAAAAGAAATTAGGAAAAAGATTACATGGAGACCAAATAACATACTACTAAAAAACCAATGGGTCGAGGATGAAATCAAAGAGGAAATTTAAAAAATACCTTGAGACAAATGACAATGAAAACACAACAATACAAAATCTATGAGATGTAACAAATGCAGTCCTTAGAGGGAAGTTCATAGCAATACAGTTCATAGCCTTCATCAAAAATACAAGAAAATTCTCAAATAAACAACATAGCCTACCACTTAAAAGAATTAGGAAAAAAGAACAAACAAAATGTAAAGCCAGCAGAAGGGACGAAATAATAAATATCAGAGAGGAAATAAAACAAAGATTAAAAAACAGTAGAAAAAATCAATAAAACCAAGAATTGGTTCTTTGAAAGGGTAACAAGATTGACAAACCTTTGGCCAGGCTCACCAAGAAGAAAAGAGAGAGATCCTGGATAAACAAAATAAGAAATAAAAAAGGAGACGTTATATCTGATACTGCAGAAATACAAAAAAACATAAGGGAATACTATGAACAATTATATGCCAACAAATTCGACAACATAGAAGACATGGACAAGTTTCTAGAAACATACAGCCCACCAATAATTAATCAAGAAGAAATAGATAATTTGAACAGACTGATCATGAGAGGTGAAGTAGAATTTGTAATAAAAAACTTCCTACAAACAAAAGTCCAGGACCAGAAGGCTTCACAGGTGAACTCTACCAAACATACGTAGAATAACTTATACTGATCCTTCTCAAACTCCTCCAAAAAGTTGAAGAGGAGGGAACACTCCCAAAGACATTCTATGAAGCCACCATTACCCTGATATCACAACCACACAAAGACACCACCAAAAAAGAAAATTACAAGCCAATATCTTTGATGAATATAGATGCAAAAATTCTCAACGAAACATTAGCAAACCAAATCCAACAACACATAAACAAGATCATACACCACGGACAAGTTGGATTCATCCCAAGTTCACAAGGATGTTTCAACATACAGAAATAAATCAATATGATACACCCCAGAAACAATACCACATGGTCATCTCAATAGATGCAGAAAAAACGTTTCACAAAATTCAACATCAATTCATGATAAAAACTCTTGCTAAAGTGGGTATACAGGGAACAAAATTATTTATGACAAACGCACAGCTAAAATAATACTCAATGGTGAAAATCTGAAAGACTTTCCACTAAAATCTGGAAAAAGACAAGGATGCCTACTCTCACCTCTTCTATTGAACATAATATTGGAAGTCCCAGCTACAGAAATCAGACAAGAAAAAGAAATAAAAGGTATCTAAATTGGAAAGAAAGAGGTAAAATTGTCATTATATGAAGATGACATGATACTATATATAGAAAATCCTAAAGACTCCACACAAAAACTACTAGAACTGATCAACAAATGCCACAAGGTAGCAGGATACAAGATTAATATAGAGAAATTGGTTGCATTTCCTTACACTCACAATGTAATATCAGGAAGGGAATGTAAAAACACAATACCTTTAAAACTCACAGCCCTCAAAATAAAATACTTAGGAATAATCCTGACTAAGGAGATGAAAGACTTGTACACTGAGAACTATAAAACATTAATAAAGCAAACTGAAGATTATTCAAAGAAAAGGAAAGATATCTCATGCTTTTGGATTGGAAGAATTAACATTGTTAAAATGGCCATACTACCCAAAGCAATCTACAGGTTTAATTCAATCCCTATTAAATTACCCATGACATTTTCCCCAGAACTAGAACAAATACTCCTAAAATTTATATGGAACAACAAAAGACTCAGAATTGCCAAAGCAATCCTGAATAAAAAGAACAAAGCAGGAAGCATAACCCTCCCAAACTTCAGACTACAAAGCTACAGTACTCAAAACAACATGGTATTGGCACAAAAACAGACATATGGATCAATGGAACAGAATATAGAGCACATAAATAAACCCACACACTTACAGTGAATTAATCTTTGACAAAAGAAGCAAGAATATATAATGGGAAAAAGTCTCTTCAGCAAGTGGTGTTGGGAAAGTTGGACAGCTGCATGTAAATCAATGAAATTAGAACATACCCTTTCACAATGCAAAAAAATAAACTCAAAATGACTTGAAGACTTAAACATGTCATGACACCATAAAACTCCTAGAAAAGATCATAGGCAAAGCATTTTTTGACATAAATTGTACCAAAGTTTTCTTAGGTCAGTCTCCCAAGGCAATAGAAATAAAAACAAACAATGGGACCTAATCAAACTTACAAGCTTTTGCATAGCAAAAGAAACCATAAACAAAACAAAAAGAAAACCTACTGAATGGGAGAAAATATTCACAAAGGATTTGACCAACAAGGGATTGCTTTCCAAAATATACAAACAGCTCATACAACTCAACAACATTTCTCCAAAGAATAAACACAAACGGCTAATAGGCACATGAAAAGATGCTTACTAATTATAAGAGAAATGCAAATCAAAACTAAAATTAGGTACCACCTCACATCAGTCAGAATGGTCACCCTTAAAATCTCTACAAATAACAAATGCTGGAGAGGATGTGGAGAAAAGAGAACTCTCCTATACTGTTGGCAGGAATGTAAGTTGGTAGAGCCACTATGGAAAACAATATGGAGGTTCCTCAGAAAAATAAAAATAGAATTACCATATGGTCCAGTGATCCCACTCATGGGCATATATCCAGACAAAACTCTTACCCAAAAAGATACATGCACCCCTATGTTCATAGCAGCACTATTCACAGTAATTAAGACGTGGGAACAACCTAAAAGTCCATTGACAGATGAATGGATAAAGAAGATGTGGTACATATATACAATGGAATACTATTCAGCCATAAAAAAGAATGAAATAATGTCATTTGCAGCAACATGGACACACTAGACATTATCATACTAAGTGAAGTAAGTCAGAAAGAGAAAAGAGAAACACCATATGATATTTATATGTGGAATCTAAAAGATGACACAGGGAATTCTCTGGTGGTCCAGTGGTTAGGGCTCCACATTTCCACTTCAGGGGGCCTGGGTTCGATCCCTGGTTGGGGAACTAGGATCCCGCAAGCTATGCCACATGGACCACCCCCCCAAAAAAAGATGAGACAAAGGAACCTATCTACAAAACAGAAACATTCTCACGGACATAGAGAACAAACTTGTGCTTGCCAAGGAAGAGAGGGTAGGGGTAATGTAATCTATTATATATAGAATGGATAAACAACAATGTCCTACTATATAGCACAGAGAACTATATTCAGTATGCTATGATAAGCCATAATGGAAAAGAATATATTAAAAAAAGAATGTATATATGTATATACAAGAATATATATATGTATAAATGAGTCAATTTTTGTACAGCAGAAATTACCAAAACACTGTAAATCAACAGCACCTCAGTATAAAGAAGTTATAAATAAAGTAAAAAGAAAAAAGTAGCCCCCGCAAAGATATCTATGTCCTATACTCACCTGTGAATATTTTACTTTACTTCGAAAAAGAGGTTTTGTAAAAGTGATTAAGTTAAGACCCTTGCTATGGGGAGAATATCCTAGATTATCATTGTGGGCCCAATATAATCTTATAAGAATGAGGCAGGAAAACCAAAGTTAGAGAAGTGCAAGTGACAATGGAAGCAACATTAGAGTCATAAGAAGATGGAAACCATGAGAAAAGGAGTGTAGACAGTCTCAAAAATTTGGAGAGACAATGATCAGAGCATCCAGAAGAAATGTACCCCAACTAACTCCTTGATTTTAGTCCAGTAATACCATTTCTGGTCCTTTGACATCCAGAATTATAATAAAACTGTCACTTCAAGCCACTAAATTTTTGATAATTTATTACAGCAGCCTTAGGTAACTAATAAAACATGACTATATCATCGGGAAAAAATGCTAGGGACTTGAAACAATATTTTACTTTCTTCTTAAACTAAATGTGCATTGTGTTGGGAGCTCTGCACATCACTGCCACTCAAGTATCCAGGTGTTGGAGCCAACCTCATCATGAGAATGTGGATCTCTGGGGAAGATAGAAGTTGGTCCATAAAGCCTCTTGCAGTTAAATGAATAACCTACGAAATATATCCATCACTTCTCCTCACAACTCAGTGGTCTAAAGAAGCCATGTGGTCCCACCTAATGCAAAGGCCAGAGGTGCAGCACTCCAGGAGGCCACAAAGTGAACAGCCAGAAATATTTGGTGAAGTATGACACTTCCAATGAGGGCGCAAGTACTCAAACCCATTCTCTGCCACATCATTTAACCTCCCTGTGCCTCAATTCCTTTCTTGTATTAGGGTCTCACATTATAGGCTCATTGTGCAGGTTGCATGCAATATACACACAATGGACTGAGTTCAAGGCTGGCTCATAGTGCACTAAGTTAATGAAAACTGTTGTTGATAAATAACTGAGAAAACCTACTGGATCACCTAAGGATGAATAAATAACTGGATTGTGTTTCCCTCCAGGAGTGGCAGGTGAGAATGAGCTGCAGGTGATTCAGCCTGAGAGGTCAGTTTCAGTTGCAGCAGGAGAGACGGCCACTCTGCACTGCGACGTGACCTCCCTGCTTCCCGTGGGGCCCACTAAGTGGTTCAGGGGCACAGGGCCAGGCCGGAAGTTAATCTACAGTCTCAGAGGAGGCCCCTTCCCTCGAGTAACAACTCTTGGAGATACTACAAGGAGAAACAACATGGACTTTTCCATCCGCATCAGTAACATCACGCCAGCAGACACCGGTATATACTACTGTGTGAAGTTCAAGAAAGCAAGCCCTGACGTAGAGGTTAAGTCTGGACCAGGCACTCATCTCACTGTGAGTGGTGAGTATGGCCTGGGTCTCTTTTGTCCCCCTGGTCTGTGACAACAAGTCAACAAGAATGCCCTCCACCCTTTGAGAAAAAAGAAAAAAAAAAGAATCAAGTGCAGCAGTGGGTGTTTATATCATGATCTGATTTCACTCCCTTTTACAGATCAGGGAAACTGAGGCCTGCAGAGGTTGTGCTACTTGCCAAAGGCCCCACAACTGGGAAAGCTGGGAAAAGTCTGGAACCCCAGTCTGCCTGGCTCCACAACCCTTGCCTTTTCCATCCCATCTAGCCCTTTGGTTCCAGGGATGAGGGAACTGAAGGTCTGAGCGACTTGCCCCGTCACAGCCCAGGTATCACCTCCTGCCTCCAGAGAGTGCTCCCCTCAATGTGGCTGAGTCTTCTCTTTATTCAGCACCCATTGAGCACCTACTGTGTACCAGGCCCTGCTCCAGATGTTGTGGAAGCAGCAGTGAACAAAGCAGACAAGGCTCTTCTCCCATGGAAATTATGTTCTCTCCCCTTCCAAAGAGAAGTCTATCCAGGGCAGGGTTTCTTTATTTCCTCTTCAGAAACATCACACTGAGAAAAAATTCCTAGAGGCATAGGTTCAGTGTTTACTCTGACAGCCCGGGCTAGAGGAGATGCCCAGAGGTTGGGTGTTTCCTGGGGGTCTGTTGGGAAAACCCTCCTGTGATTCAGGGACCGACTCAGAGTCACTGAAGGCTCCCAGCAGAGCTGGGTCATCTCAGAATGTCCCTCCCCAGGGAAGAGGTTCCCCATGTGGGTGACTTAGGGGCTGCCCCATTGAGGTAGCAAAGGTGCTCATTTAGAGTTTTCTGACAAAGACCCTGGATCCTCTTCCTAACTCCTGAATCCTGGACTGTGACACAGGAGAGACCTTTTAACACTGCCTGCCCAACCCTCCATGTACAGATGGCGTCCTGAGGCCAAGAGGTGACTGGAACCCAGACCACAGTCCCATGGTCAGTGAGTGAGGGGATCCTTCCAGAACCCAATCTGATTCCAGGCCAGGCTCTTTCCTGTACCAGCATTGGAACTGGTTTCATGGAAGAGCCTGGTACATGGAAGTTAAAGAATAAAAGCTCTTTGAATTAACCATTGAACATGATGTTTTCATTGCTTTCCCATAGGGTCAGAAGGCTCCTCACATTCAGGCCCTAAGTCCTGAGGTGACTGGAAACTTCTCCCTACTTTCAGCCACATGATCCCAAATCCCTCATTCCATATCAGCACCTAGAGCTGCGCATTGTTTCAATAGCTACTTAACATTCAGGGCATGGAGACAATCATTTTCATTTTACAGTCTCCTGTTGACGGATACTAAGGTGTTCCTAACCTCAGGCTATCGAAACAGCACTGCAGTGGATAACCTTTCCATGTGTCACTCTCCTCAAAGGGGAAATAGCCACTGGAAGTAGCATTGCTAGATCAGAGACTATGTGTATTTTAATTTGTGTGATTATATTGCCAACTTTCCCTCCTAGTCATGGTAGCAAATGAATCTTCCCAGAGCTCCAGGCATTAGCAGGGAAGATGGCTTTATCCTGATTTTGCCGGTATTACTAAACTTCCCAGATTGTCGGTTCCTTGCTCAGCCAATCACAGCTTATAAGTGGTTCCACTGTCACTCAGATCTGCTGCCTCGCAGGAGGCTGCTCGTCCTCTTCCCCAGGCCGTCTGCCCAGAGGATTCCCTGCATGAGAAGGGAAGGAGGGGGAGGGGAGCAGCAGCCTGTCAGATTCTAAATCTTCCTCATGGCATTTACTCCTTATAATCAGTGCTCTGAGGGTAGGGCCGTCTGTTGTCCTTTTTACATATGAGGACACTGGGGCTCAGAGAGAGAACCTGATTTGTAAGCAGGTAGGGGAACCAAGATTGAGCCCAAGTACCTAGACTCATGTCCCTGCTCTCTGCACACCCCACTGTGCTTGTCAGTTGTGGAGAAAACTCCAGGCCTGTCCTCTTAAAACCTTGTATTGTTCTGTTCTTTAGCAGTAAGCATTTTAAAAAGTCCTGTATGGGAGGCAAGCCTAGCTTTACCACAGATCAGACAGATACTACCGTGTCTCATGATGTACTGAATGTTCCTAAAATGCAGGGCTCAGCACACTTAAAAGCACCAGGAGTTTTTCTCTCCATTATTGCGATCTTGCTCCTTCACTAGGTCTCATGGGGGAACAGCTCTGGGAAGTGTAGCATGGACAGCACAGAGAGGGGCCAGTGCAGTCCCAGCAGCACCATGCACGCCCATTCCTGGCTCTGCAGGCCGAGGATGAGGAGGGGGAGGTGCTCCCTAGAGGGCGCTGGGGGCCCCGCGTGAGCAAGAGTTCATATTCTAGACTCAGGTGTCAGGGGCCCATGTCTTCCCTTGTTGCTACAGGGTCCCCAGGCCTGGGCACTCAGAGGCCACTCCTCCCTGTAGTTGCTTGAAGTCAAGAATCTCAGAGGGAAAAGGGGAGGATGGTGGTCAGTGTGGGGGCTTGTGAAGGTGGGGCGCTTGCTCTGCTGATGGCCATGAAAGCTTGGAGGCGACAGGAAACACTTCTGGGACACAGTGGGCGGGTGAGGAGACAGTCCCTTCATTTCTCTCAGCCTCAGTTTTCTCATCTGTAAAATGGTGATCATCATGGTCTCCTTTCAGGAGAGTTGGAAGGATTTGAGGTGCTCTGTCTAAATCACCAGCACAGAGTAGGGGCCCCCCAAATCGAGGTGTTATTTCAAGGCTGTGACCCAGTTCCCTGTGCTGGGTCCCGTTTCCTCACGTGAAGAAAGAGGATAATCACACAGCCTTTGCATTATGTCCTGAGGGTACAACGACCTGGTGACAGGACAGCTCCTCAGGGAGCGATGGTGCTGGCCTCCCAGACTGTGTGATCTTGGCAAGTCTCAGTTCCATCTAGTCTTCAGTTTCCCCTTCTGTAAAATGGTGGTAATCACGCTGCCTTTCAGGAGTCTGTGATGACTCGAGAGCATCTGGGAAGCCCTGGATGGGGTGGACTGGGTGTCACTGAGCTCAGTGCACAGCAGTTGAGAGCCTGGGCCGAGTACCCCCTGCCTGGTCCTCCATCCCATCTCTGCCCCGTCCCAGCTCTGGGACCTCTGACGAGTCCCTCCCCACACTGGGGCTTGGTATCCTCATCCGTCAGTGACAGCCCTACCCTCACAGAGCATCTGCAGGAACTGAATGAGGGAAGCATGTCAAGAGCTGAGAGCAGATCCTGGCATATGGTACATGTTCCAACAACGTGAGCTCTGATGTGCTGGAGCCAGAGGACCTCGGATGGGTCGCTTTCTCTACAGGACTAAGTACAACTGGGGTTGGGGTGGAGCTGGGTTCCTTTTGACCTTGGCTGCTTATTAGAATCACCTGAGAGATGGTAAAAGATCCCTAGACCCTGGTTCCACCCTAGAAATTCTGATTTAATTGGTCAGACGTGGGCCTGGGCAGCTGAGTGTTTTCACTCCTGCAGAGGATGCTGGTGCCCAGCCAGGGCAGAGGAGCCCTGAGTCACGTGTTCTCTGAGGTCAGAGGGAAAGCTGTGGTTTTTCCAGGATAGAGGCGGGTCACTGGGTTGTAAGAACAGCTCTCCTGGGTGTGAGTGCTTCAGAATAGCCCGTGACGGTGACAGCTTTTAGGACACCCAAAAAAGTCATTCGGAGTCGATTGGCAGGCACACACCCCGCCTCCAACAGAGCTCACTTGGGCTGAGAGGTGCGTCCTCCCAACTCAGACCACCCTGTCCAGACCCGAGCTTCATCACTGGAGAAACCTTCCCATCTTTACACACGTGTGTGTGTAAACAGGCTCTGGAATGCCTGCAAATGCTCCCTGCTCAGCCTGGAGACCTCCTGCCTCAACACACCACAGTGACACTGACAAAATCTGTTCTTCCTCCTTTCAAAATGCTTCCAGCTTCTGTAAAGAGCTGATTTACAGGAAAATGCCTGTGATCTCTTGTGTGTTTTGAAAGCCAATTCCCCAAACTTGTTTCTTGAGGGAATTATTTTTTTAAATGGGAACAGATTTATAATTTGGTGTTTCTACTAGTTTTCTCATGTGGATTTTTGTATGACAGCTGCATAGAGCACGATTTGAGACTCTTCTTGGTGTTTCTGTTGTGCTTTTGTTTTGCCTTCTTACTGCCTAAAAAATAAGTGGGTAGTTTTAGAACTAGAATGGCCAGATCTTATGATAACAATCATGGGTGTTATTCATTTTTTTTAAATTATGGGTGTTATTGATTAAGCACCTACTATATGTCAGGCTCTGTGTTTTACATATATCTTCGCTCATCTTACCAGGTGGTGCTTGTATCTACTTTGTCCAGAAACAGACACTGAGGATCAAGGATAAAGAACACTGACACTAAAATGGATCTGTCCTGCATGCAGTGAGATGAGCTCTGACCTTTACTTGCTGGGTGCCCTTGTCCAGCTTCGTCCTCCCTGAGCCTCATCCCATATATGGAGTCACTCTTGGGCCTCCCTCACAGGGCTGGTGAGGGGACTAAACAGCTGAGGGTGATGGATAGATCAGATCATCTTTAGGCTCTGAAGAAACTCTGGACAAGTAGTAACTGATCAGAACATCTTGTCCCTTTAGGGGTGTCCAGGATGCTGGTGTTTATACAATTTGACATTTTAAGGTAACTCCTTGCTATGTCCTCAAACGTTTGATGAGTTTTAAGAAGCAAGTTAAGTATTTACAAATGCAAATATTTGTAATGTTTGCTGACTTTTACAGGAGATGTTGAGTAACAATGAACAATTGGGAGACACCCTACAGGAACCTTCTAAAGAGAGAAACCACCCTCACATTTGATTTACCGATTTGTGTGCTTCTGGGTGCTTTATAGGCCTGTGCCTGTGTCTCTACAGATTTAATAACAATTAAGAAATTAACCACCACTGGTTTCTCAGCACTCAGTGATCTTTCTTCTTAACCCAAAATTGAACCAAGAGAAGAACCCAGACTCAGAAAAACATCCATTTGCCCCCTTCCTTTGAAATTCAGGGGTTGATACATCAGTCCTACTGAAATATTCGTGGAAAGAATGAAAACTATGCAGTAAATTCATAAACACCTGAAGGGACAGGTCTGGGTATAAATACAGTCCAGGTTAAAGAGGGATCTGTGTTTGTTTAATTTTGGGAATCATCTTGTGTTTTACTCATAGCAAAAATGCTCCCACTGCCTGATTGAACCCTCACTGCGGCCCGGGAAGGGTAATGCCTGCTGTCCCTTTTCACAGACGAGGAGCTGGGAGGTGCCATGGCCACACCTCTCGTTGGACGGCCAGCCTGGTTCAGCTTCCATGTGGTCCCGCTATGACCCCGCTTCCCCTGCATTTACTTCTGTAAACAATTCTCCGAACTTACCAAGTTTTCCGGGGGGAGCCCAGCTAGGAACAGTTAATAGGACAGTAAGACCAATCAGTACTTTTGTTCCTTTGCCCAAACTGGTGGGAAATCACCTGGCAGATGTAAGAAGGTGGACTTTGAACTCAGGCCTGGAATTCGATGTCAACCCTGCCCCTGACTCAGAGTCACCTCTGGGAACCTGTGTGTCTCCTCTGTCAGATGAGGATAATGACACTGCCCTCCCAGAACTATTTGAAAAATTTAAAACATAATATGTGTGGTGGTTCTTAACTATGTCACATTTTTATCATTAGTGATGATAATTACAATCATGTTCATCATTTATAAATGTTCCTTTTGTAGCCAAACCCTCTCCTCCTGTGGTATCAGGCCCCGCAGTGAGGGTCACACCTGAGCAGACAGTGAGCTTCACCTGCAAATCCCACGGGTTCACCCCCAGAAACATCTCCCTGAAATGGTTCAAAAATGGCAATGAGCTCTCAGCCTCCCAGACCGACGTGGAACCAGAGGGAAACAACGTTTCCTACAGCATCTCCAGCACAACCAAGGTGGTGCTGGCCCCGGGGGATGTTCGCTCCCAGGTCATCTGCGAGGTGACCCACATCACCCTGCAGGGAGACCCTCCTCTTCGTGGGACAGCCAACTTGTCTGAGACCATCCGAGGTAGAAGCCCCTCACGCCAGCCTAAGCCCACACCTGCCCTCAAGGCCCCAGCCTGTTCCTCCTCCCTGCTTCTTGCTCCAGGCCTCAAATTGCCTGGAATCTACTTCCTGACAGTCCTGCCCCATCACCAGGCTCCTAGATGAGCTGGGCACTAACTACTGTTTTAACGGCAGTTGCCAGGTGGGCACCCATCATGTGCCAAGCACTGTGCTAAGTAGTTTCCTTTACTTTATCAATAGTTTCTCCAACTACTGAGCACCTACTATAAGCCAGGCCCCTATGTGCTTGGTGATTTCGTATATTTTGCTGTAGTTATTATATTCCATCTGCATGCCAGGGGCTGTGCTTGTAGATGGCACACATTATTAACCTAATAGGAGCCCAGTCCTTGAGCACCTACTGTGCACCCTGCAGTGTGCTTATGATTTCATTTATATGCAAAGATACCCTCAGTGTTTGAGCACCTGCTGCATGCCTGATTCTGTCCTCTGGTGACTCCCTTGCTGTGCTGGAAGCTGTTATCCAGCCCCTCTCCTGTGACCTGTTGGTTCCATAAGGTCAGAGCTTCTGCCTATGCTGTTTCAGTTCCGCCTACCTTGACAATTACCCAACACCCCTTGGCGGGGAACCAGGTGAATGTCACCTGCCAGGTGAACGAGTTCTACCCCCAGCGCCTACAGCTGACCTGGTTGGAGAACGGAAATGTGTCCCGAATGGACATGACCTCGACCCTCATAGAGAACAAGGACGGGACCTTTAACCAGACGAGCTGGCTCCTGGTGAACTCATCTGCCCACAGGGAGGCTGTACTGCTCACCTGCCAGGTGGAGCATGACGGACAGCTGGCGGTCACCAAAAACCACATCCTGGAGGCCTCTGCTCCCCAGAAGAACCAGGATGCAGATGAACCTCTTGGTGAGGCCTCCACTCCAACTGACCCAGTTCTTTACCTTTTTTATTTAATATTAAAGGTAGTAATTCATGCTTATTATAGAACAATCTAGAAATCAATAGGTGTAAAATAGAATTTTAAAATAAGTTCCCTCCCCCAAATCCCACACCCCCAAGAGTGACCACTGGTAAGAGTTTGGCATATTCTTTATAGATCTCTTGACATAAATATCCATGAAAGAAAGTAGGAAGGAGGGAGAGCATCCTGTTCATAGAGTCCTGCCTCTTGCTCTCTTCAACTAACAGTAATTATGTTCCTCTTTTCCCTGTCCAACCACCCACCTCCCTCCTCCTTGTTCTTTCTAACCTCTGCTTAGTCTCTCTCCAGCCTAGACTTTTCCATCCGTATCAGTAACATCACCCCAGTAGACACCTGCACCTAATACTCTGTGAAATTTTGGAAGGGTAGCCCTGAGGATATGAAGTTTGAGTCTGAACCTGGCACCCAGGTGACCATGAGTGGTCACTGCACAGGGCTCCTTTGTCCCCTGATTTGTGACAATGGACTAGTAATGATCACAGTTGCTCACTGAACATTTTCTAAATGCAGATCTCAGTTCAGCTGTGATCTCTTTTCCTGCTTCAACAACCCAGAGGGTTTGGAGTTTAACAGAAGAGACTCAGGGAGAAATGGGGGACGGGGGATGCTGTTGAAGATTTGTTGCCTTTAGTTCAGATGATTGGGCTAAACTAATAAAGGTGAATCTGAGTCCCTGAGCACAGGAACCACCAGCCTTTATAACAGATATGTGCTAATTAAAGACAGGTTCCCCCTCAGCTGGGCATTGTCCCAAGGACAGTCCCCCTTTCTATGAATAAAACATGTCTTATAGGCTGTCATGTAACATCAAGAGAGGGTCAAGTCACATCCAGGAGTCTTTCCTCCAGAAGACCTTTCAAAGTCCCATGTTCCTTCCAACATGCCCGTGGTGTTGTCCTCATCTTCGGGGTCAATGCTGGGTCACTGAGTGGCCATGTCCCTGGCTGCTGGAAGAATAAAGAGAGGAAGGGGAGAACAAACAACTTCTCTTAAACAAGAGATATAGAGAAGTTGCATAATTGTGTTCACTTTAACTTACTCCTGTGTGCACAACCAGTTGTCAGTGGAGTCCACAATTGTGTGGTCATACGGTTAAGGACCTTGATTTCCTACAAAACTAATACCAGTGCACACTTAATGTATAATCAATATTAATTCCCTAATATCATTTAAAATGGAGTATAAATTCAAATTTTCCAAAATATATTTTATTGTTGTTTTGGTGCACCAAAATTGTTTTTAATTCATCTGTAAGTTCTTGGCAAAAATTTTCCATGACTCCATCTGGGCCTCGAGCTTCTATTTTTTTATTTGAAAAAGAATTTGAGTTGTTTAAGACTATTCAGATTATTCACTTCATATAGTGTGAGCTGTGGTATGTTCTGCTTTTTGAGGTATTTGTTCCATTGTCTCTAAGTTGTCAAATTTCTGCCTGTATAGTTGTTCATAACATTCCCTAACTATCCTTTTGATGTCTGAAGGGTCTGTAGTGATGTCCTCTGTTTCATTCCTGATATTGGAAATGTGTCATTCATTTTTTCTTTGCAGTTGTACTAGAAGTTTTTCAATTTTATTGGTCTTTTAAAAGAACCCACTCTTTTTTTTTCTCTTATTAGTCATCAATTTTATACACATCAATGTATACATGCCAATGCCAATCACCCAGTTCATCACACCACCACCCCCAAACCCCTTCCGCTTTTCCCCCTTGTTGTCCATACGTTTGTTCTCTACATATGTGTCTCAATTTCTGCCCTGCAAACCAGTTCATCTGTACCATTTTTCTAGGTTCCACATATATGCATTAATATACGATATTTGTTTTCCTCTTTCTGACTTACTTCACTCTGTATGACAGTCTCTAGATCCATCCACGTCTCAACAAATGACCCAATTTTGTTCCTTTTTATGGCTGAGTAATATTCCGTTGTATATATGTACCACACCTTCTTTATCCATTCGTCTGTCAATGAGCATTTAGGTTGCTTCCATGACCTGGCTATTGTAAATAATGCTGCAGTGAACATTGTGGTGCATGTGTCTTTTTGATTATGGTTTTCTCTGGGTATATGCCCAGTAGCAGGATTGCTGGATCGTATGGTAATTCTATTTTTAGTTTTTAAGGAACCTCCATACTGTTCTCCGTAGTGGCTGTATCAATTTACATTCCCACCAACAGTGCAAGAGGGTTCCCTTTCCTCCACACCCTCTCCAGCATTTGTTGTTTGTAGATTTTCTGATGAAGCCCATTCTAACTAGTGTGAGGTGATACCTCATTGTAGTTTGTATTTGCATTTCTCTAATGATTAGTGATGTTGAGCAGATTTTCATGTGCTTCTTGGCCATCTGTATGTCTTCTTTAGAGAAATGTCTATTTAGGTCTTCTGCCTATTTTTGGATTGGGTTGTTTGTTTTTCTAATATTGAGCTGTATGAGCTGTTTATATATTTTGGAGATTAATCCTTTGTCCGTTGATTTGTTAGCAAATATTTTCTCCCATTCTGAGGGTTGTCTTTTCATCTTGTTTATGGCTTCCTTTGCTGTGCAAAAGCTTTTAAGTTTCATTAGGTCCCATTTGTTTATTTCTGTTTTTATTTCCATTACTCTAAGAGGTGGATCAAAAAAGGTCTTGCTGTGTTTTATGTCAGAGTGTTCTTCCTATGTTTTCCACCAAGAGTTTTATAGTGTCCGGTCTTACATTTAGGTCTCTAATCCCTTTTGAGTTTATTTTTGTGTATGGTGTTAGGGAGTGTTCTAATTTCATTCTTTTACAGGTAGCTGTCCAGTTTTCCCAGAACCACTTACTGAAGTCTTTTCTCCACTGTATATCCTTGCCTCCTTTGTCATAGATTAGTTGACCATAGGTGCATGGGTTTATCTCTGGGCTTTCAGTCTTGTTCCATTGATCTATGTGTCTGTTTTTGTGCCAGTACCATATTGTCTAGATTGCTGTAGCTTTGTAGTATAGTCTGAAGTCAGGGAGTCTGATTCCTCCAGCTCCGTTTTTCTCCCTCTAGACTGCTTTGGCTATTTGGGGTCTTTTGTGTCTCCATACAAAATTTAAGATTTTTTGTTCTAGTTCTATAAAAACTGCCATTGGTAATTTGATGGTGTTTCCATTGAATATGTAGATTGCTTTGGGTACTATAGTCATTTTCACAATATTGATTCTTCCAATCCAAGAATATGGTATATCTCTCCATCTGTTGGTATCATCTTTAATTTCTTTTATCAGTGTCTTATAGTTTCTGCATACAGGTCTCTTGTCTCCGTAGGTAGGTTTATTCCTAGGTATTTTATTCTTTTTGTTGCAGTGGTAAATGGGAGTGTTTCCTTAATTTCTCTTTCAGATTTTTCATCATTAGTGTATAAGAATGCAAGAGATTTCTGTGCATTAATTTTGTATCCTGCAACTTTGCCAAATTCATTGATTAGCTCTAGTAGTTTTCTGGTAGCATCTTTAGGACTCTCTACTTATAGTATCATGTCATCTGTAAAGAGTGACAGTTTTACTTCTTCTTTTCCAATTTATATTCCTTTTATTTCTTGTTCTTCTGTGATTGACGTGGCTAGGACTTCCAAAACTATGTTGAATAATAGTGGTGAAAGTGGACATCCTTGTCTTGTTCCTGAACCTAGAGGAAATGCTTTCATTTTTTCACCATTGAGAATGATGTTTGCTGTGGGTTTGTCATATATAGCCTTTATTATGTTTGGGTAGCTTCCCTCTATGCCCACTTTCTGGAGAGTTTTTATATAAATCAGTGTTGAATTTTGTCAAAAGCTTTCTCTGCATCTCTTGAGATGATCATATGGTTTTTATTCTTAAGTTTGTTAATATATTGTATCACATTGATTGATTTGCATTTGTTGAAGTATTCTTGCATCCCGGGGATAAAGCCCACTTGATCGTGGTGTATGATCCTTTTAATGTGCTGTTGGATTCTGTTTGCTAGTATTTTGTTGAGGACTTTTGTATCTATATTCATCAGTGATATTGGTTTGTAATTTTCTTTTTCTGTAGTATCTTTGTCTGGTTTTGGTATCAGGGTGATGGTGGCCTCATAGAATGAGTTTGGGAGTGTTCCTTCCTCCGCAATTTTTTGGAAGAGTTTGAAAAGGATGGGTGTTATCTCTTCTCTGAATGTTTGATCTGGTCCTGGACTTTTGTTTGTTGGAAGATTTTTAATCACAGTTTCAATTTCATTACTTTGATGGTCTGTTCATATTTTCTGTTTCTTTCTGGTTCAGCCTTGGAAGGTTATACCTTTCTAAGAATTTGTCCATTTCTTCCAGGTTGTCCATTTTATTGCCATTGACTTCCTTGTAGTAGTCTCTTAGGATTCTTTTTATTTCTGCGGTGTCTGTTATAACTTCTCCTTTTTCATTTCTACTTTTATTGATTTGAGCCCTCTCCCTCTTTTTCTTGATGAGTCTGGCTACTGGTTTATCAATTTTGTTTATCTTCTCCAAGAACCAGCTTTTAGTTTTATTGATCTTTGTTATTGTTTTCTTTGTTTCTATTTCATTTATTTTCTGCTCTGATCTTTATGATTTCTTTCCTTTTGCTAACTTTGGGCTTTGTTTGTTCTTCTTTCTCTAGTTCACTTAGGTGTAAGGTTAGATTGTTTATTTGAGATTTTTCTTGTTTCTTGAGGTAGGCTTGTATAGCTATAAATTTCGCTCTTAGAACTGCTTTTGCTGCATCCCACATGTTTTGGATCACCGTGTTTTCATTGTCATTTGTCTCTAGGTATTTTTTGATTTCCTCTTTGATTTCTTCAGTTATCTCTTGGTTATTTAGTGAGGTATTGTTTAGCTTCCGTGTTTTTGTGTTTTTTACAGTTTTTCCCCTGTAATTCATTTCTAATCTCATAGCACTGTGGTCAGAAAAGAAGCTTGATATGATTTCAATTTTCTTAAATTTACTGAGACTTGATTTGTGACCCAAGATGTGATCTCTCCTGGAGAATGTTCCCTGCACATTTGAGAAGAAAGTATAATCTGCTGTTTTTGGATGGAATGTCCTATAAATACCAATTATATCTATCTGGTCTATTGTGTCATTTAAAGCTTCTGTTTCCTTATTTACTTTCATTTAGGATGATCGGTCCATTGGTGTAAGTGAGCTGTTAAAGTCCCCGCATTATTATTGTGTTACTATCGCTCTCCTCTTTTAACTGTTAGCAGTTGCCTTATGTACTGAGGTGCTCCTATGTTGGGTGCATATATATTTATAATTGTTATATCTTCTTCTTGGATTGATCCTTTGATCATTATGTAATGTCCTTCTTTGTCTCTTTTAACATTCTTTATTTTAAAGCCTATTTTATCTAATATAAGTATTGCTACTCCAGCTTCCCCTTGATTTCCATTTGCATGGAATATCTTTTACCATCCCCTCACTTGCAGTGTGTATGTGTCCCTAGGTCTGAAGTTGGTCTCTTGTAGACAGCATATATATGGATCTTGTTTTGTATCCATTCAGCGAGCCTGTGTCTTTTGGTTGGAGCATTTAATCCATTCACTTTTAAGGTAATTATAGATACATATGTTCATATGACGATTTTCTTAATTGTTTTGGGTTTGTTTCTGTAGGTCCTTTTCTTCTCTTGTGTTTCCCACTTAGAGAAGTTCCTTTAGCATTTATTGTAAAGCTGGTTTGGTGGTGCTGAATTCTCTTAGCTTTTGCTTGTCTGTAAAGCTTTTGATTTCTCTGTTGAATCTGAATGAGATCCTTGCTGGGTAGAATAATCTTGGTTGTAGTTTCTTCCCTTTCATCACTTTAAGTATATCATGCCACTCCCTTCTGGCTTGTAGAGTTTCTGCTGAGAAATCAGCTGTTAACCTTATGGGAGTTTCCTTGTATATTATTTGTCGTTTTTCCCTTGCTGCTTTCAATAAATTTTCTTTGTCTTTAATTTTTGCCAGTTTGATTACTATGTGTCTCGGCATGTTTCTCCTTGGGTTTATCCTGTATGGGACTCTCTGTGCTTCCTGGACTTGGGTGGCTATTTCCTTTCCCATATTAGGGAAGTTTTCGACTATAATCTCTTCAAATATTTTCTCTGGTCCTTTCTCTCTCTCTTCTCCTTCTGGGACCCATATAATGTGAATGTTGTTGCATTTAATGTTGTCCCAGAAGTCTCTTAGGCTGTCTTCATTTCTTTTCATTCTTTTTTCTTTATTCTGTTCCATAGCGGTGAATTCCACCATTTCTGTCTTCCAGGTCACTTATCCGTTCTTCTGCCTCAGTTATTCTGCTATTGATTCCTTCTAGTGTAGTTTTCATTTCAGTTATTGAATTGTTCATCTCTGTTTGTTTGTTCTTTAATTCTTCTAGGTCTTTGTTAAACATTTCTTGCATCTTCTCGATCTTTGCCTCCATTCTTTTTCTGAGGTCCTGGATCATCTTCACTATCATTATTCTGAATTCTTTTTCTGGAAGGTTGCCTATCTCCACTTCATTTAGTTGTTTTTCTTGTTCCTTCATCTGGTACGTAGCCCTCTGCCTTTCATCTTGTCTATCTTTCTGTGAATGTGGTTTTTGTTCCACAGGCTGCAGGATTGTAGTTCTTCTTGCTTCTGCTGTCTGCCTTCTGGTGGATAAGGCTATGTCAGAACCCACTCTTTGTTTCAGTTATTTTCTCTATTGTTTATCTGTTTTCATTTTCACTGATTTTTCTTCTTTCTTTATTATTTCCTCCCTTCTGCTTGCTTTGGGTTTATTTTGCTCCTTCATTTCTCATTTCTTGAGGCAGGAATTTAGATTATTGATTTAGACTTTTTCTTTTTCCTAGTGTCACACCTGTGTCTCCTCTTGGTTCCTGACTATGTTCTTCCTCCAGTCCTCAGGTCCCTAGACAGTCTGCCTCCTCTTCCACCTCAGGGTCCTTCTATGCTTGTCCCTTGTGTTATTTCTAGGGTTCAAGTTGTAATGAATGAGGAGATTAGGAGAGAAGAGTCCATGCCATCTTGTCTGGCATGGCCTGTAAATGCTTTTTAATCTTCCATCTTCTGCTCAGGCTCAACCAGGGCTGGTACTTCTGGGTGCTGCAGGGTGCTTGACCCATGATGCTTGTTAGTGTAGTAAAGCTGGAAATGTTTTTTGGAGCACCTAGGTTGACAGGCTGAAGAGAAGTGTAAGATGCTGATGTGATCTTTCTCCCCGGATCCAAAGCCTACCCCGGGCATCTGAGGGCTCCAGCCACTGCAGGCCTGCGTCCAGTGGGTCTGGTGTGAGGATGCACATCTTATTGTTTGTTTTTATGGTATTGGGGTTTTTTTAACAATATTTCTAGCCTAATGAAATATTCTAGACTAATATTTCCCTAGTACAGCATAAATCAAGATGTTAACGGAGTCTTTGGTTGGTTGGTTGGTTTTGATAGTGGGAGAAATGTTCTGAGCCCTCTAATTCTTTGGTTCTCTTTTGTCTTTCAGGAATCTAAATCCCTCCCTCCTGCTTTTTTCTTTTCCCTTTACCTCTCAATTACCATCAGCACGTCTTCCTTCTTTTCAAGTTTTCTACCCAGAAGTTATGCACTTTAACTCATGCATATCCATTTATTCACATCTGTTCTCCTTGAATTAGGTTCCTATAGTCAGTGTAAGTAATTACCACATTTAGTGATTTAATACAAGACAACTGCATTATCATTCAGTTGTAGAGGTCAGAAGTCTACAGTGGGTGGCTGGGCTCTAGAGAAGAATCCATTTCCTTGCCTTTTCCAACTCCCAGAGGTGTCCACACTCCTTGGCAAAGGGCCTCACATCAGGCTGACCTCTGCTTCTGGCATCACATCTCCTCCAACTGTTCTGCCTCAATCTTTTACTTATAAGAATCTTTGTGATTACATGGCCTCCACTAGGAAAATGTGCCCATCTCAAGATCCTTAACAAATCACTACTGCTAATCCCTTTTGACATGTAAGGTAACATATGCACAGATTCTGGGGATTCTGTTCCAACCCTTTTAAATCACACATACTTTTAAACCCCTTTCTATGATCTGTGCTCCTTAGGACACTTTTCCAATATTTTCAAAGTTTAGACAAATTTATATTGGTGGTGGTATTTCCAAATAACTCTAGCTGCCTTGTCTATTTCTCCATAATTTTCCTGGTGCCTGGTTGAAGATGGGATGGCAACCTAGAGAAAGACTACTAGGTTTTGCTGAATTTTCTCTTGTCTCACAGTCATTTTCACTTCTGACATTTTCTCTTCAAGTAATAACACGCTTGCAGCCTGAGAAAAGAGAGTAGGAGAATGAGGGACTCCTGTATGCTGATTTCTGCCTCAAGCTTGAGCCCAGGATGCAGGTCAAAGCCTCAGAGTGCTGATGGGCCCAGGTGGCCTCAGATGGAGTAAGTCGAGGCCCCTGGGAATGGCTCCTGTGTGATCCCTCTAATCGCTCCTCTTGTCCCTTGATGATTTCCAGGCCCAGAGCTGTCTTCTCCTCTCCTAGTAGTTCTCCTCCTAGGCCCCAAGGTGCTGCTGGTGGTCGGTGTCTCTGTCATCTTTGTCCACAGGAAGCATTGGGCCTGACTGTAAGTTGGGGTAGGAGGGAGGGCAGGACAAGGTCTGTCCTACATTACATAAGGTCAGTAAGGTAGCCAGCCCACAGGTCACACAGGGTCAGGGCCCACGTGGGGATAAGAGAAGGGGACACACTTCCCTCAATACCCTCAGGAGTATCCTGTTTCCCTCTAAGAGGTGGCCAACTCCCAGGAGGTGTGCGGGGTCCTGAAGGAGGTGGGCTGGATCAGGGGTTTTCAAAGGGTGTCTCTTAGCAGTTCTGTAAAGGAAGTGGGCAGAGGGTGCTGAATGAGGAGGAGCTGAGTGGGTGGTTCCCTTGGAGACCATTTCTAGACATTTGAGTCCTGGAGCTCCTTGGGGCAAAAAGAATCCACATTTTCAGGTAATGTTGAGAACTCTGGATTGGCTATTCTGAGAGCGGCTTCTGCTCTGACCCTCCATGTGACAGAATAGAAGGGCTGGGGATGGGGCATCAGACCTGGGGAGGAGGCTGAGGGATCAGAGTGCTATCCCAGGGGCTGCTCATCCTCTCAAGACAGGCATCCCAGGAGGAGAACACCTGGGCATATAGGAGGCATGCAAGGAACGTTTCCTGAGTGATGAGCAGATAATTAAATATGGACATGTTTCTCACAGCTCCTTCCTTCCTCCCTGCTCGTGTCACCCTCAGTGTCTGCTGCTTCCTTCCCTTCCTGAGGGGCCCAGCCCAGGAGAAGGACTCAACTGGGAGCTTCCATGACTCTGCTCCAAATGCCTCCCCTCCATGGAGACTTGCCTGCCCACATGCCCCTGAAGCCACCAGAGCTGTGTCTTCATACATGGTCCTGAGCAAGGATCATGGGAAGTAGCTCTGGGGGCTGACTCAGGACATTTCCCTGGAATGTGAGAAATAAGTCAGATCAACACAGATCAGGTTATCTCTCATCCATCACCTTGGACTCGGCCATGAACTACACAATAATGCCCTGTGCTGAGGAGTTATTCTGTCCTCTGGATTCCTGCCTTCACCTGACTCCCCACCCTTTGAGGTGCCTCTTTAGTACAAATGACTCCCCATCTTAGTTTTAAGAAAAATTTTTCTCCTTCCTCGTTGTCTAAATAGCCAACTTCTCAAACCCAGAAAATATTGTTCCCTCCTCTCTCCATGATGGGAAGAGTAGTTTTTCTATAATCTTGCATCCTTCCCAACCCTATTGCTCATGGTAAGTATACTGTGTCCAGAAGCCTGGAGTCATCCTTGATTTCTCTTTCTTTTATATCACGTATTCAATTCTGCCTTCAAAATGTTTATGCCCAGTGGTCAGATGGAACTCTTTAACAATTGACTATCCAAAAAGAAAAAAAAAAATAAAGAAAATTTATTGGTATGAATACTCCCAATGTGGTCATTTTCAAGTTAGCAACAGTTTAACAACTAGTTTGCAAAATTCCTGAAAACGTAAATATCAGCTCTCATGAGCCAGTCCAATCCCCTCCAGCACACTTCTTAATTGCATCCATGATCTTCACATTCTCACCCCCACCACTGCTCCCTGGTCCCAGCCACCATCATCTCTTCCTGAACCATTGCTATAGTCTCTGACTGGCTTTCCTGTTTCAGCCTCAGTGATTCCTTGGGAATGTAAGTCAAATCCTATCATTCCTCTGCTTCCTCCTCCAACATGTCTGCCTGGCTCACTCTCTTCCTTCATTCCAGCCTCTGCTCAAATATCACTTTATCAAAGGCATCTTCCATATACCATCCTGTATAAAGTATCAGTTCCTCTCTCAGCCTTGCATTCTATGACTTCTTAACCTGATTAACTTGTTTCCTGAACACTTATTACCATCTGACATACAAAGCATCGGCAGTTCTCACTTTGCATGGTAGAGAAGGACCATAAAATTACTGTGTAAACTGAATCATGGAAAGTGATCTCAGTAATCAATGGGATAAATAAAGATTGTTCTGTGATCATTAAAATTTGATTTCAAAATATTAGGAACTCTCTTACTGTCAGCTACTAATAATATGTAGTTTGAAAAATTAGAAACACTGAGAAATAAAGCAATTTATTTCTTTATAAAAACTTATCCAAAGTGTTTGAACAGTTCTTGCCTTCTTCTTCTTGCATAATTTATAATATAAGAGCATCTTTTGTACAACTTGGTGAATTATGCTCCTTGCGAAGTTTGGATCCGTTTCCAACATTTTATGCCTTGTAATCTCAATGCTGTGAAATCTTTACAAACTTTCTTTAATTCAAAGTATTTGCTGTTGTCACTTCCTCTGGGACATTTTCACTCTTTTCCTCACCACCACTTTCCTCATTTATGTGGTAAGTTTGACTTTACTAAGTTCTTCTGATTGCGTATCTAGAATCTTTCTAACACTATTAAGGTATCTTGGTCAGCTATTTCTTTTGTAATCCATTTATATTGTTTGAATATAACTTCTCGCATCATCATATTTTGTCTCTCCATGGCACTTTCATCTTTGTTGCCAGTTCCCTTTTATAATTATTCACTTTTGTAAATGTCATGTGGGTTTATCACTGGGAGACAGGAGAAAATACAACTACGTATTTTGCTGTCTGTGCCTAAACTGTGTAAGAGAGTCACAGTGACCAATCACTACAGACTTTCAAAGAATTGATATGATTGGATACTGATCACGATGAGCATCTGTTATTACATAATGATTTGTGGAATGAAGTATACTTAGCAGCAAAGTTGTACGTTATGTATCGTTCACAGTAAATTTCCTGTGGTGACTGAAATCTGAACCCTGTGTTGGGGGATTGATGTTATTTTACTAAACTGAAATTCATGCATCAGGCAAAATGAACACTGATTTATGTGTTATCTCTTCCTCAAACAGGACATCAGTTCTATGAGAAGGGACTCTGAATCCTCAGGTGCCAGAACAGTGACTGCCACATACTAGGCCATTGTTTAATTTAATAAATGAATGAATTAGTTTTTACCAGATGTTGGATTTCAAAATAAAAATTATGTAATTCAATCATCTGGCTCTTGTGTTCTAAAGTTTTTTCATTAAAGGTTAATCTCTCTTCTTTGTGTTCAGAAATCCTATCAAAAAATCAATATTCTTCAGAACCCAAGGAAGTGAAAAACCAGAAGAAAACAAAACCAAAAAGCAAAAACTGACATTGATACGAGTTTGTCAAAGGGGCTCAGAAACAAACTGAAAGAGGTCCCAATGGACAAACTTGGAACAATTTGGGCAAGAAATATTGGATATATAGATACACACATATATAGATATGTATATTTATGTATATATATATACACACACGTATATATGTATGTATATATATATATACACATATTCTGAATGTTTTTTTTTTTTTTTTTTTTTTTTGCTTGCTTGCTTGCTTTTTAGATACTCCATATAAAGTTGAATTCTCTTCAGGTACTGTTTTTAAAACAGTACTTAATGGACATAAAGGATATTATGAAAACAACATAGGTTTTGCTTCTATGGATCTTCTGGCACATTATAGTTTATACTGGCTGCATTTGCTTAGTTATATCACAGGATTTTTTGCTGTACGCGGGCCTCTCACTGTTGTGGCCTCTCCCGTTGCAGAGCACAGGCTCCGGACGCGCAGGCCCAGCGGCCATGGCTCACGGGCCCAGCCACTCCGCGGCACGCGGGATCTTCCCGGACCGGGGCACGAACCCGTATCCCCTGCATTGGCAGGCGGACTCTTAACCACTGCGCCACCAGGGAAGCCCTCTGAATGTTTTTGTCCCCTTAAAATTCACATTTTAGAATATTAATGCCCAATGTGACCATGTTAGAAGTTGGGGCATTTGGAACATGACTAGTTCATAAGGGCTCCTCTGTCATGAATGGGATTAGTACCCTTCTAAAAGAGACCCCCAAGATCATCCTAGTTCCTTCTTCCATGTGAAGATACAATGAGAAATCTGAAATCCAAAAGATGGCCCTCACCCAATCAAACTGCTAAGCTGATAGTGGAATTCGAGTTTCCAGAACTGTGAGCAATAAATTTCTGTTGTAAGCCATCCAGTCTGTGATATTTTGTTATAGCACCCAAACAGACTAAGACAGATTATAAACCAAAATATAATAAATATCTATGAGTCCATATAGATGTAAATAAATAATTTAATAAATAAATAGATGGAGAATTTTAAAAAATCTTCTTTGCAGGAAACTCTCAAATTATGAAGACACTTCACGCTAAATAAGGGGAAACCCAATTCACTACCCCTGAAGTATGGGCTGCACATGGTGACTCCCTTCCAAAGGGGATGAATGGAAGGAGGAAAAGGGGTTACTTTACAGTGGGGAAACCTGACTAATACGAGTTAGCGAGGTCATCAAGAGTTCACCAACAATAAATCAATATCAATAGGCATAAATCATGTAGATTTGATGAAAATGGCACGTTTCCTCTGGGACCTTCCCCAAAACCCATAAGCCTAGATTAATTATGAGAAAAGCATCAGACAAAATGTAACAGAGGGGCATCCTACAATAAATCTGAGCAGTATTCATCAAATCTGTAGAAATCATCAAAAACAAGGACAGTCAGAGAAGGTGTCACAGCTGAGAGGAGCCTAAGGAGACACGACAAGTAAATGTGTGTGGTATCCTGCATGGGACCTTGCCACAGACAGGGACTTTATGTAAAACTTTAGGAAGTCTGTCATGGACTGAATGGTTGTATCCCTTCCAAAATTCATATGTTCAAGTCTAACCCCTGAAGTGATGGTATTTGGAGGTGGGTCTTTGGGAATGAATTAAGTCATGGGGTAGAGCCGATTCCCAGAATGTTGCATAGTTGGAATCATGCAGCATATAGATTTTTCCTTTCAGTTATTAATAAGCATTTAAGATTCCTCCACATCTTTTCAGGGCTTGAGAGCGCATATAATTTTAGTTCTGAATAATATTTGATTATCTGGATTTACCAATTTCTTTACCAGTTCACCTACTGGAGGTCATCTTGGTTGTTTTCAAGTTCTTGCAAGTA